CTCAGGAAATTGTGGACTAAGAGTATTTACAGAAGCAAACGATCAGCAATCAGTTATCAGATTCACACACGCATGGGGGGGAAAAAAAGAAGGGACAAATTCCAGAATGAAGATTTGAAGAAATACTTCATAAGCTGTTGTATCAAAGCAAAATCGCTCCTGCAAAGTGGAAGCAAAGAACAAAAAAAAGGAACTCTGTGCCAAAATCTACAAAAAAATAAAGCACTCCAAGGAAACGAGTGGGTTATCGAGTGACTCCTGCGGCTCCCTCGAAACATCGTCGTTTTCCTCTCCTACTCTGTCACTCTCACTATTCTCCACTGCTTTTGCCGGTGGCTTGACCTGGCTCCGACCGCTGGCGGCACTGACTGGCCGGGTTGGTGGCGACTTCGATCGTCGGTCAGATGCCTCGCCGCCGTCGCGGCAGACTCTTCTGGGGCCCACATTAGGCTTCCTAGTCGCCACCTGACCAGATTCCCTCCCGCGAACTGACCTCGTGGCACCCTGCCTCCTCTTCTTTTCCGGTGAAGGCTCCGATCTTCTCGCCGGAGATTTGGACCTCCTCTCTCTGCCGTCGGAGCTATCGACGCTGCACGAACGCTTTCTGGTTAAATTACAGAATGGAGGTTGATTCAGCCTCTTCCTAGTCGCTTCGTCCTCCCTCTTTTCTGCAATTGGAGTCGTCGTCGTCGTGGTTGAAAAGCTCTCGTTTAAACTGCATATTTCTGATGTTTGAGACACCTCAGAGACCTCGTCAACTTTTTCAAATTTCTCGACTCGGGGCTGAATCACAGCCATCTGGGTGCTTCTTTCTTCCACCAAAATTGAAACTTGAGGTTTGGAAATGGTTGTTTCTGAGAGAACAACCTTCACAGTTTCCTCCACCACAGTTGGCGGCAGTCCTGGCGGAGCTTGATTGTCAATTTCATGAGTGGCATTTGATTTCTTTTCGGGAGATCTCGGACGAGGTTGATGGACATGCGAACCATTTTGGTGATCTGGGTGATCTTGTTTGGGCATTTAGGATTGCTGAAGCAGCAACCCATTTGGATGGAATAGGAGGCAATCAATCACAGAGATGTTAGAATGAGGTGGAGAGGTTAGAGGAAGAAAGTGTTTGAAATTGCATGGCTGTGATGATTTGGATATTTTGAATAACTGAAACGGCTGTTATTCAAGTGTACGTTTGTTTTGGTTTGGAAGTCTGTAAAGATTGTGAGGCGGAAAATGAGGTCTGTTGAGGAACAGTGAACTAACACAAGTGACAAGTGAGAGGACAGGCATTCACTGGCTTCAAACCTGTGTGGACATTCTATTCAAAAAAAAAAACCTGTCTGGACATATCTAAGGTTGATGTTCTCTGAAAAAAAAACAAAAGAAAAAAGGAAAAAGGAACAAGCTTGATCCCGCTCGTGATTAAAGGAAAGCTTGGTTTTCATCGCTACAAACACCATAATTAGCTCCAGCACAACCTTGTAACATAATCATCTTCATAGGTTGAATTTTTGAAATGTTTGGTTGACCTGATATGAGAAACTAATCCCCCTCTCTGGAACCTAATTCCGATAGTACTCTTTTCGTTTTAAATATAAAATGTGTTTTGAAAAAGCTCTAAGTTTTATTATGTAAGGTATTTTGCATATTTCTTGGAATGATTAATATATTTTCCCCCAAGTTTTTATAATAAGAATATATCAAAATTATTCATTTTTCTTCATTAACATGATCTGTCTCACATGCATGGAGTCCGGTTTCAATGCTCAGCAGCTTTGTTGAGCACCGCGATGCTCATCATTAAAAAACATTTAGGCCATCTAGATTTTAATTTGGATGGTCCAATTTTTTTTAATTTAATTTTATAAAAATATTTTAGATTTTTTTAATTTTAATTTTATAAAAATAAATTAATAATTTTTTGATAATATATTCACCATCAATTTGGACAATACTAATTCAATTTGAGATTCTTCATGGTTCAATTAATATTATAATTGTTTATAAACTAATTACCTAGATATCTTTGGACGAGACAGATTTAATATTAAAATTTTTTAATAAATGTTTTATTTTAATAAATATAAAATAAAAATAAAAACTTTAAATCTAGGCCTTGCAGATAAAAATTTAATCTTAAATCTGGATTGTTCAGAGTACATCCAGATAGTTAATTTATAAAAATTACAACATTAAATTAAACCATTCAAATTTAATCAATACTATCCAGAGATCCAGATTGATGATAAGTATATTTATCAAAAAAATTTATAAATTTTATTTTTATAAATTAAAAATTAAATTAAAAAAAATCTGGAACCATTCAAATTAAAATTTGGATGGCTCATATTTTTTTTATGATGAGTACCATAGTGCTCAGCAAGCAAGCAAGTTGCTGAGCACCGAAACCGGACTCATTTACAGGAGGGTAAGGTTAGGGGAAAAAACTAAAAGCCTAATACCTAGCGTGTCTTATGTATATAATACAGTTTCATTGGTGGATAGTTAAATAATGATTTTATAGAGAGTTACTTTTCCGAGCCGAAAGGCTTACACGGATTTTGACGACTCGTTGGAAAAACTCTGTTTCACGCATCTTACGTTGAAAATGGAAAGGGTTTTTGGTGTACTAGGCTGCCTATTAGTCCCGCCTTTTATTCTATTACTTTAATAAACTGTAGTCGGCGTGGAGGACTTTTTGCATTTTGCGATGAAAAGCACAAAAGAGCTAAAATCCAAGGGCAACAAATCTCTCTCTCTCTCTCTCTCTCTTCTCTCTCTCTCTTCTCTCTCTCACAAAATAGAGACAAGGCAAGTGCTATTCCTGAAGAAGTAGTAGAATAGAGCTCGTAGGTGAGAAAAGAAATTTATGATTACTGGATTGCAAAATCATTTATCCTCATTTTCTTGATTAAATCAAGATTCAAACATCCCATGAAGTTCCAATGCTAAAAAAATGTTAACCTCCTCTAATCATCTCAGTCACGCAGTTATAAAAGTTTGACAATGCATTAGCAACCATTTGATTTAAAGGATTGATGTGTTTGGGTGTTCAATCCTATATTGTTAGCAAATCAAGCTCACTTCACATTCCCATCAGCGTTTGCAAAATTAAAAACTTTTACAAATTAAGTTTTAAACACTTATGTTTGATTAGAAGTTAATTTAAATTGTTTATAAAACAAGAAGTTAATTTAAATTGCTTTGATCTAATTTAGATTATAGTGCTCAAACATGGATGACTTTAAGGAAATTTTTTTCAACCAGCTTTAGCCTATGAGGAAACATTAGTTTGGATCAGTCCACACTAATTCAAAGAGTATGTCCCTGAAATTAGTATATGATATATAATATATATTTTTTTACCAGCTAGTATATAAATATTTGAAAAAGATAAAAAAGGAGGAACAGGAACAGCAAATAAAAGTTTACGTACAATCATGTGGACATGCAACATATCTTATGTCGCCCGTTCTTGGGTGTAGATCACTGTGTAACCATTGTTTAATCAATAATTTTCAATTTGTGGCTCAACTCAACTAACGTTGAAGGCCCCGTGTGTGTGAGTGAATATATCTAACATAGACCCCTATTTTGGTATTCAGTATTTATTATTGTGAAAAGGAAAGTTCCGTTGGCGATCAACGAAGACAAAATTTAAACTTCAATTTTCATAACTCAATTTTACAATAATTAATGGAAATTAAGTCATTACACAATTTTTTGAACGAATGAGCAGCTCCTTCAACGGTCTGAAAAACTGATCAAAAGGTTACCCCACGCCGGTTATTTATTTCCCACCTGAAACATTTCAGAAATTTCACACAAGGAACACCCCCCCCCGGGTCCAGCAGAAAACAACATTGCAGACTGTCAATGTCGTTTTCATTTAAAAATTAACTATTTCTGTTCTATTTTTCAGTTATTCAAAAAAATTATTGATGACTTGATACCCAAAAAAAAAAATTGCATCAGCTATTCAGGTTTGTTCAAGGGACAAATCACTTTTTTAAAGCATCAAATAACGTGTTTGTCACTTGAGTAAACTCCAAAAAATTGGGTTGCTGGCCAGAGCTAGAGATATATTTATGCCAGGGAAATATGTTATTAGGATCCCTACTAGGAAAATATTAACATGTTGGTCCAAAAAATGGTCGTTAATATCAATATTTATAGTTTTAAATTTGGAAAGAGTTATTATTCAAAAGGTGTGAAATGTCAATAACTGTTTTACAGAGGCAGGAGTCGTTCTCCTTTTTAGCCACGGTAGACAACAAAAAATAAGAAGAAACGAATTCGAGCCGCAGGGGCAGAGGATATCTCAAGGCTCAAGCTGGGCACAGAGGAATGATCAATTAGTTCATTCATGGTCTGAAAGTCAGAGCTCAGGTTTTCCCCCATTTGGCTCCAAACAGAACTCTGAACTTCCCACCAAAGACTGGTCTTCCGAACATTATCCTAGAATCAGAGCACGACAACCCATGATAGGGCAACTGGACCATTGGAATTTCCACCTCCCATCAAATTTAAAACACGCTAAGAGTGCTGAGAAATGAGTAGCTCTTAATGAAGTCCCCATCATGAGCTGAGAAATAAAATCCAACGAATCTAAACAGATCAACTGTTGGGTTAAAGAGGAAAATATTTCACATGCTGAGCCCATTCATCTCTTTTTACATATAGATTACAGATGGCGTGAGCATCATCGAGATAAAAGCTTGAGCTCCTTCTTACGTATGATACAAGTTAAAAAATTGTGTCTGAGTAATGGAAAAGAAATCTCTAACTAGAGGCTGGAAGATTTGCAGGAGATGCAGCCCGGTCTGACTCAATCATGGACTTCATATAAAATTCACTGCTTTATATGGGACCAGATGCTACATATCGAAAACCCTATCACACAAAAGGTCCAATAGAAACTCCATCACTCATACCACATGATCATGATAATTTATACATCTGTCATAAGAGAAAGAAAAAAGCAGCTTTCATAGACGAGTTTTCCACAAATTAAAATTTTGCCACGCTATAATAATTCAAAGATAAAATCACCATTATTACACGCATGGTTATCAGTTTGGAATGCCACGTTCGGTGCTACACCTTGATAACTATATGCAGTGACACCAAGCCATGCTAATTGCGAGATTGAAAAGTAAGGCATTCTTCACCATGGAGTGGCAAGGTACTGACAATTCTCTGCACAAAGAATGAATTGCAGCAAGGAATGACACTTGAAATGAAAAGCTATAGGGGATAAGAGAGAACACTTTCAGGTTCTCATCCTGCCCCTCCTCCCCCAAGAGGAAATATTCTCATATTGGGACCGAATAGTCTTTGGCAATCTTTTAATTTTTTAAAACCAATGGAAAATGGTATATGCGAGAAATACAAGCATCAGTTAAGCTGGGAGGGGTTGTGTGACCAACCAACATGGACAGCAAGGCTTGGCTGGAGAAAAATCCAGACAGTAGGACATATGATGGATGTTAGTCCAGGGATGGTCAATAAGAAGGGAAATCTGAATGAAGGAAAGTATGGGAAGATAACCGAATAGTCTTTGGAGATTTTTAAAATCTCAAATAGCTGAGTATTTTCTTTTCTATCTTTCTTCCTATTTTCATGTTTCCAGTGTGAAGCCATCCCTGCCATTGTGGTGATCTTTAAACAGCTGGTGTCACCAGTTTAATTATCCATGACAAACAGACCATAAGTCAATTTTTTTAACTTCATAACAGAAATACTAAAGAAAAGGTGAAAACTGGAATGCAGAAGATCATCCTATCAAGCAAAGAGAAGGGTTAGCTCTCTGGAGCTAGAACAAGGTACAAAGTACAAATTCTCCACTACTTAAAATGAGTTTGGCAGAAAAAGAGGGGTACACAAGAGACTAAGTCCTTCTAAACAAAATTATCATCCATGCGTTGCATTTGAAGGGACTTTCATATGATGTCTTTTGGGATGGGGGGCATTAGAGCTAAAAGAATACCACAAAAAATGGGGTTTTGGCCATGCAACCACACATTAGTGTAAAAATAAGCTTAAGCATAGTAGTAAAGTTATACAAAGATTCTGACCAAAAAGAAAAAAGTTACACAAATATTAAATATGGGCAGATATAATGCCTTTCTCAACTTTTTCTATGCATACGGATGCCTAAATGAACCCAAAATGTTTAAAGTTGCATGATTTGATTCAAAATCTATCTAAGTCTCAACCTCAAGGACTGGAGAAAAACCACATGTTTTAGTTATTTTGTAGCCACGGAATTGGAATTATAGGATACCAACAAGATATGATAACAAAAATAGATACTCCTACAAATGACTAGTAACTTAGCTACTAATAAAAGTAAGTATGAAACATTCCTTTGGTTAATAGAAATGTAAGATATAATTCATTAGAAAACACTAGAGCAAAGCTTGAAGCTTACCATATCCATGCCAAGCATCCGATACCTCTCAAAAGCCTCGGGCATAATGTATTCAGATACTGGCATATGGCGCTTTGAAGGTCTCATATACTGACCGAATGTCATTACATCAACATCAGCTGCTCTCACCTTCTCCATTGTCTTTACAACTTGATCGGGTGTTTCCCCACAGCCTAACATGATTGACGTCTTGGTGAGAGTTCCAGCAGGAGCATAATCTTTGGCCATCATTAGAACATCAATAGACTGCTTAAAATTAGCACGATGATCCCTTACAACACTCTGAAGCTCCTCCACAGTCTCAATGTTATGTGCAAAGACGTCTAATCCTGATTCGGCAACCTTCTCTACACAGCCAGCGTCTCCTCGGAAATCAGGAACTATAACAATAAAAAAGTGCACCTACTGTCATAGGTAAGAAATTGGCAGTGCTTTTAGAAAATGGTTTTTCAATTAAACAAAATTCTCCCAATGATATTCCACCTTAACAAATACACACCAAACCCTATAAGGGAATCAAATGGACACAAACTTAAAATTCACCCCCACGACCTAAGCCCCCTGAAAACTTTTTATCTATTCTGAATAAAAGTTTTTGGCCAATGCTTCAACTAATATGAGGTAACTCTTAATTAAGTGCCAACACAGTCAGCCAAAAACAGAAAGTTCACCTTTCTGTATTTTTTAAGGAATAGAATAATTGCAGGGAAAATATAATTTCCACGCTAACGGCATGCTCCTTTAATATCATTTGAGAAGACGAATTCCAGTTGTACCACCATAACGGATTCTTATTAGAGTCATTAGCAGAAATAATCAAAATGATTATTTCTAACACATTCTCAGTGACAAACATAAGTGCCACACATCACTTATCAAGTATAGTTTTTTATACCCGCCAAGATATAACATAATACAGGCACCGTCCCAGAGAAAGTCATTAACAAAATGGAAAACTGCATCCTGGGTAGAACCTAATTCAACTTGCTGCCTAATAGTAATGGCAATTTTTTTTTATAAAAAAGTTACGAAAAAATATTTGATAAAAAGGCTCCTAAAAAGTCTTTATCGGTTTTACATTGACTGGCACTAGCTACATGGTATACCAGGAAACCAGAGAGAAATTCATGCATAAGACCTCAACATTTTTTTTTTTGACAAACTACAAAATTTGGAGAGCATACCTAAGGCTTCTATAAGCATGCTTGGCTTCAATGCCTTCAGCTTTTGCACTGTTTCAGCAAAATGACCACTACCTTGATCAGGTAAATCATCACGATCAACACTGGTTATAACCACATAATCCAGACCCCATGATGCAATTGCTTCAGCCACATTGGTGGGCTCCTCGGGGTCAGGTGGGGGAGGAGTTCGAGATGTCTTCACATTGCAAAATCTGAAAAATCAGAATATGAGTTGTTCGATTTCAGGTCAACGAAGTGGAAGATTTATATTTCTGGTGCAGGTATATACTAGATACACAATTTTGAACCATACAAATTGTGTCAGGCAGTAAAATGACACATTCAGTCATGGTAGTTCAAAAATTAAAAACCATTCCCGAATACATAAAGAAACAGAATCACTCCACATTGTTAGTAAAGTCAGCAATGAATAGATGCAACCTGCAACCTCGAGTACAGGTATCTCCCAAAATCATGATGGTTGCGGTGGCAGTTCCCGTTTCACCGCCAGACCAGCACTCACCCAAATTTGGGCATCTGGCCTCCTCGCACACCGTGTGAAGCTTCAATTCCCGAAGCTTCTTCTTGATCTGCACATACTTCTCACCACCGGGAATCGATTCCTTCATCCATTTGGGCTTGGGTAGCGGCTTCTTCTTCGTGCCAACCTCGACAGAGTATGAATTGTTCGACTTCAAGTCAACGAAGTCGGAGAGAGATGGCGATTCCTCCGCGAGCCGAGCTCGGAGACCCGCAAGAGTCTGAGGATATTGAGACGGAGAGGTGGAGGGCGTGGCTGTGGACGATGAGGAAAAAGGTTTGGCAGGGGAACTGAGGATCCGAGAAACGGTTCTGATGCGGGAGTACATGATCTCTCAATGCGCTTCTCTTTGGGACAACCAGAGATCGAATGCGCAAAGGCAAGAGGATGAGGATAATACGTGTTCGGTCAAGCTTTCAGCGATGAACGTAGCAACAAACAATCTCTACCAGCCAGACTAGGGGCCGAAGCATCGCGTGGAATTGGCGTGACAATGTTGGGCTTGTTATTGGATGCTTTAATTTAGAGAATATGGGTTGGGCTTGGTAAAAGTTTTCCAGCGATTGAAGTTGCCATATAATCGACAAAAAGAAAAAGTTGAAAACTGAAGACCACCACGAAGTAATGAATTGTTATAGACAAATTTACACGCACAACCACATAAAGAGATGACTCTGTCAAATATTTTTACAAAAAAAATGGAAACTGATCTCCTTAAAATCTTAAGGTTATGTATAATATCTTTATGATGAAAGAAGTGACAAGAAGTGAAAGGTACGGAATTGGGTTTTGAGTCTCCCAATTTGATTTCCATGGCTAAATTTGTTTTGAATAAAGTTCAATATTATAAATTATTCATCAGGTTAGCTATTAATAAATTATCAAACAAATAAATTTAAAGTACATACCACGTAACAAGATGATGGAATTACTAATTTACTATGCTGCTGTTGAATCTTGAATGTTGACCAGTATTTTTTTTTTTAATTCGAAACTGCCACACCTCACTAGGCCAACAGGCCTTCTATTGACCAGCGTTGTTGTGTTGCGTTTTATATATTGATATACATACTTTGATATGTGCTAAATTACATTCAAGGACATTTTAAAAATTTCTTATAACATATTTTGGCCCCTTAAAATTTATGAAAGTTTTGTAGCACATGTATTTTTAATCTCAATTTCTTTTATTCTTGGATACTGGCTCCACCCTGATTACATTATTTAAAATTAGTAAATTACGTGACTTCTTGATAGTTTGATGTTATATGTTGAAATATGGATTGTTTGTTCAAAGAACCATATGGATTATAAAATAATTTTATAAAGACTCTTCAGGACAGAATCCACCCCATGGAATCAGAGTAGAAAACACCCTTTTACATGGTGGAAACGCCTTTTCATTTTAGGCCAGTGGCAGTAGCGGATAAAGATCCATAAAGCATCGGATAAGTAACATTATAATATAAAATAGTGTGGGCCGACGACTATAATATAATAATAAGACTTGTCAATAAATTGAGACGCAAAAGATGGTGGATAGGTGATATCAGAGCGAGGCCACGGGGATGACTACAAGTAACAAGCTAGTGGAACGTCAATTTAGAAGGGAATATGTTATAGGTGTGGTCTTTGGTCTCCATTGGAACATTTGGATTTGTTTGGTTTTTCTGTTGGAAAATGCCAGGAAAGGCCTAAGACAAGGACGTCGAGTGTGAGTGATTGATACGGATACATGGCCTGCCCCCTCATACAACGCATATACTCCCTTAGACCACATGTTTTTTAAGATTTTTTTTAATTTAATATAAAGTATTCATTTCCTTTAAAAATATAAAATATTTTTAACCGAATCTTATCATTCAATAAAGTAGTTACCTACTTTCAAACTAATCCTATTTTTTTATATTTACTCTTGCTAAATATCCTATAATAAATATAAAGTTACTATCAATAGGGGCACTTTAAAAAAAAAAATAATGATTACACATTAAAAGATTAAAAATACCTTACATTTTTTAACATTCAGCTCCTTAAAAAATACTTTACATTTTTAACGGAGAGAGTATTTGATAAAATATTAATTACATCTTTTTAATATTATTTTTATTTAAATTTATTAATTATGATGCAAAATATAATGTAAATTTAAATTTTTTATTTAGATAGGGATAAAATTAATAATTTAATAACATTTTTTATTCCGGTGAAATAATTAAAGATGACTTATAATAAAAATAAAAGAAATATAAATTATATGCATATGTATGCGTATTTAATTTTTTGGAAAAAAAATATCATTTGAGGACTGCTAAAACAATTTAATCTCAAATAAGAACCAAAATATTCAGGACTGAGGGACTAATTAAAAAATAATTTTAGGTGAGAAAGAACCATAATACCACTACTTTTTTAAAAAAAACTTGTCAATTAACAATTTTTTTAATTAAATGTAAATAGGTACTTGTTAATAATGAATGACTATTTGTTAAAATATAATCTATACATATACCTTCTCACAACTAAGCTCTTTTAAATTCTTGAATTTGTCAGTTAACGAGTGACTTCTTATTAAATATTAATGAGTATTTATTAATTAACGAATAACTGTTTGTTGAAATACAATTTATATGTGTCCCTTCCTATAACTAATTTTTTTATATCATTGAACCTGTCAATTAGTGAATAATTTTTTATTAAATGTGAATGACTACATGTTTATTAATGAATAGTTACTTATTGAGATACAATGCACATTTATCTCTTCCCATAATCAAGTTCTTTCATATTTTTAAACTTATCAATTAATAAGTGAATTCTGGTTAACTGCAAGGGATTACTCATTAATCAATAAATGACTAATTTTCAATTAAAAAAAAAGTAGAAGTATTGCAGTATTTTTTTTATAAAATTATTTTTAAATTCAATGATATTTAAAAAAATTAGTCATTATTTGATATTAAATACTTTCAGCTATTCTTGAATGATTTTTTTAAAAATTTTTTTAAAAAAATATTAAAAGCACTGGATCTACCAATCAATGCCAAGGCAACCCTTGGGGCCTTCGGATGGGCTTGACACTTCGACCAAGTTTTCAAACATGTCACTCGCAATGATTTCCCATAATTAATGTGGTGTTCTGGCTGCCGGGGTTACTTACTTTGGCTCACACTGACCACCCATTATATAATGTACGAATCATAGTCGTGGTATTAAACTTTAAAACTACTAATTATTAACGTGTGAATGTAAGCCAACTACTGCCCGCTGATTGTGACAGGAAACGAAACAAGTGCACGTTCATTTACATACGTGGGCGCGCGCATTTATATATTAGGGTAATGCATCACTTCAGTTTAGATATTTTTTGCATCCAGTTGAAACTAAAGCCCCTATAAAAGTATCTCGACAATTCAGACCTAATCAATAAACATTAAGAAAAAATTTTATATACTTGATTTTATATATTTAAAATGTTTGTTTTCAATTAAATCAAAACATGTGTATTTATAATAGATTATTTATTTTATAATAAATTTATATTATTAATATCATTAACATATTGAAATCCACATATTTTGATTTGATTGAATGAAAGTATGTTAAATATATAAGGGTAAGTATATAAGTTTTGTCGAAACATTAATGTGTCCAGAAAACTAATAACCCCTTAACTTATAATGGGATGTATCTATAATGTGCTTAATTATTTTATTAGTATAGGACTATATCATTAGTTTATTTGAGTCAGTGCATGCTTTTAGACTTAAAAGTACCTATAAAGATACTTAATATCTTTAGTGAACAAGGCATTCACATTAATTGTAAAATTTAATTCTATAATTTTACAGATTATAAGTTAAATCTTTATAAGTTTAACCAACTTTTGTTGGTACTACACTATTGTATTAACGTTGAAAAGCTATGCTTCTTTTTTTTTTTTTCGGGTCACATGATTAATTGCAAATTGGTGGTGGGAATATATTGGGATTTATTGACCTTGAAAACATTGACTAATACAAACCTGGATTTTAAATTTGGGAGGAACTGTCTCCATCTTTCACGGCGGGGTTCTTACAATGCAAGAGTGCGTGTGAACGCAGAGAAAAACGACAAGGCATGGCCACTTTATTTTAAATGGGAAGAAAAGTAGCCCTTTCGCATTTATCCATACGGCCTTTTCAAACTTGTTGGGCATTTTAGAAACCGACGGCATTTACATCGTTGAAATTTGAAAACGATGTCTTCTTTTACTCATATTTTATTTAGGACAAACTGGGGAGGATCACCAAATTGTGGAAGTATCTGAAAAAAAGGACCAAATCTGGAAGATAGTTTGCAGGTGACTGAAGATTTTAACATTTGCACTTATCTTCAATAAATCTTTAATAATTTACATTGATGATTGTTAAAGCCTGAGGGTTTATCTTTCACGTTGTTTCTTCCCCACAAATATTTTCACTACTCTGTCTTTCTCCCCGGTTTTTCCTTTTATTTATTATCCAAACATACATTTGCTTTTTAATTAACACAGAACGTTCAGTTTATAATATCTAATGTATATGTCTTGCTTGATACGTATAAAGAAGATTGATATTTACAAATTACAAGTTTTATTTTTGTTCATGCAATATAAATATTAATTTTTGCATATTTTAATTTTGTCATCTACTTAATCTTTTGTTCACCCAATGATTGCAGTGAAGGTGTTATACTAATTTAAGCCTACCAACCAAAAAAAAAAAAAAACGACATCTACAACTTCAACTTGACTACCACAGCCTGCCAAAGCAAATAATAGGAAATGTCATTAAACTTGGACGGTGAGCCTCATTAATTATTATTTAAGGGAAATTCAAAGCATGAGACTAAAATTTACCGGTTTTTACGTTACGATCCTTTTTATCGGCACGTGCATTTACCGGTTTGGATTCAGGCATCAGTCACCAATAACAGCCTCCCAGGTCGCTATTTTTAACTTTTTTTTTTTTTTAAAAGTCATCGTTGAATGTTAAGTACAACAAACCAAGCTTTATTTTTTCCCGTTGGACATGACATGAAACTGAAATTTAATTCCCACCAGCCACCATGATATTAAAAGTCCGAGCAGTTTGATGGAAAGTGCGGAGATAGAGAACAATAATACATTATTAACATATCAGGATAGTGCAAGAAATGCAATGTAAACCGTAATTTGGGTTTTTAAAAAAGTAAAGCATAAACGCAAACGACAAACCGTCCAAGTGAAACAATTAAACAAAACGAGAGTCAGAGACAAGATGATACGCTCCCACGCTAGTCAAGTAGACGCTGGGTATTCGGTCCAAAACAAAACTAGGCGTTGGATACGAGCGAGTCCAGCTAGGATGAACAATACGGACGATGTCCCCGTGTGGGAGCAAAGCAAGTACCGTGGCATGGCTGGTTGAAACGTGGCACGTTTTGGTTGGTTATTGATTTGTGT